AGGAATCATGCAGAAAAGGCGAACTTGTGGCCTGTGTATGTAACAGCAGTGCTGCTCACAGTGACTCCAGCATTCCTCTCGGGAGCATGTGTGGTATCAGAATGCTAATAGTTCTGCAAGTGGATCCAGTCACCTACAGAGGTGGTGATCTTTAGCCTACTTAACAAATGTTTTTCTTATTCTTAGTCAGTTTTCACTTCTAAGCCATAAAAGGTTTTCCTACATCCCGTGTGAAAGGTTCCCATAAACCGAGAGGTGGAGGCTCTCAGCAAATCCTGCATCTGGGCTGGGGCTGCTGCAGCTATGTCCCTGTAGAATGAAATTATTTTGTGTTTGGCTTAGGAAAATATATTGGATTAGGAGCACTTCAGTTTGCTTAAAAAGGCTTGCTTCCTGTGGTCATAACTTGAAATTTCCTTGTGTAACCAGTTCCATCTGTCTGTGGTTTTTGTTTCTGCTAATTGTTGTTATAAGGGGATGGTTTAGAAATGCTTTGTTTTATTGTCTGTTCATGTCTACGAAACCCAGCCTTTACAGCAAGCACTCTGTAAGGAAAGAACAAAAAACCTCAGTGTTTTTCCATCCTTGCTGGGCACCATATTTGTTGAAGTAATTGCAACTTACTGGATTTCAATTTCTTAATCAAAATCTTCATCAAGAAGAATGGTTCTTGTTTTTCATATTGTTTTTGCTTGCAATATTTTGGGGCTCCACTGTGTGATAGCATATGTATGTGGGTGAGAGGAGATTGAGATGAGATCTGAGGCAGAAGCTCTTCCCTGTGAGGGTGCTGAGGTGCTGGCACAGGGTGCCCAGAGAAGCTGTGGCTGCCCCATCCCTGGCAGTGTTCAAGGCCAGGTTGGACACAGGGGCTTGGAGCAACCTGCTCTAGTGGAAGGTGTCACTGCGCATAGCAGGGGTTGGAGCTGGAGGAGCTTTAAGCTCCCTTCCAACACAAACCATTCCATGATTCTGTGATTCTATGAAAAAAAGAACCTTAAGCACAAATATAACGTACTTTGAGCGAGATAGCATTAGAATGGCACTGGGTGAGTGGTATATGTAAGGTTGTGATGGATGTGCTCTCAGTTTGAAGTAATTTGGTCGATATCTTTTGATGCAGCAGGATTATTTTTTGTGTGTAATTTGCTGTTCTACTGTTGACAGTATCAAACAAACTCCTACTCTGCTCAGTTTCTTTCCAAGACTTGTTTCCTATCAGCTTTCATGCCAGAAAGGCTCCTCATCCAGAATGGGATGTTACGCAGACCTCGCTTGTGGTTTGTTGTCATTTCTGTGGAATTGGTTGATAGTAGAAAATTTCTTTGATAGAAAGTAAGTAGTTTTTTGAAGTACTAGAATACTCGTGCCAGAATTCAAATATCAAAATGTTCAAGGTCACAAAAATGTTAGCAAATAAAATTGGCCTAAATGATATAAAACTGCATTTGAGTCCTTGAAAGCTTCAGAAGGATTTCAAGTTATTTATAACCCTTTAAACCCTTTTTAATTTCTGTTTTGTTAAGGCATTGGTTTAATTATATTTTATTGTTCATTAGAACTATTGCACTAGGATCATTTTTTCATTAGAGTTATGAATATATTTGAATTATTTAACCAAACCAAAATGTAACAAAACTTCAGACTGTCAAGTTCCTTCTGCTGTTTGGAATGTAAATCCTCAAGTTTTGGGCCAGAAAATGGGTTTACAATTGTTCTGTTAGATCTTTGTTGTAAAGACACAAAGAGGAAATCCTCCTCATGCAAGACACTGGGAATAAAGCTTTTAAAAGTGGAAGATGAAATAATGGTGCTGGTGAGAGAGTCTCTAGCAAGGAACAGTTTGGTTCAACAGCAGGAGGAAACACTCCCTGATGGCAGGCCTGGATGCTGTGCACATTTCCCAAGCTGAAACCTACATCCAGATGAAAGAGAACCACTCCCTCATGATCTTTCAAGGAATATTGTGGAGGAAAATGCAACATACCATTGTATAGAGCAGATACAGCCATGATGAGCTTATCCCCCCTAGTTTTGGTTTTCGTAGTTTTTCCTGGGCCCTTTAAATATGTCTAATTTTGGAGTTTCCAAAGTAATTATTTGTCACTGAAATTCCAAATGATGCATTTCCATTGTAAGTGCTCTGTAGGTTGAATAGATAATGTTGGATTGTTAATCCTGGTGTTGTCATTTCAGGTTTGATGGGAATTTTAACACCAACGTTTCTCGAACTATCAGCTGTGATAGACTGTCTACCACTGTCAACAGCAGAGCCTTCAATCCTGGACGTGACTTAAATTCTGGTAAGTTGAGTAGTTCTGCTTTTTTCCTCTGGTCTGGGGGTCGTTTTTTCCAGCATACTTTAACATTTCCTTGGCACAGGGAATTAGCATTGATTGCCATAGCAACAAGCTTTTCGTTCTCCTTCGAACTGTCACACTGCTCTTAATTTGAGATTTCATGATGGAAAGATGATACCTAAAGTAATGCCCTTAGTCTAAGTACTTTATGAAAATGTCATGAAGATTTTATTCCATCCTACCATGGATAATTTTGTTGTGGTTTATGCACTTTTTATTTCTTCTTCTTTCTTTTATTCCAAGGCACTTTCTTTCCTAGGCCTGTCTGCTTTGGCATCCATAGTGTCAGCTGCTGAAGGGGCTGTGCAGAGAAGTTTCTCTGATCTTCTTAGCTCCGTTCAGCTAATGTGAGGCTGTGTTTGCAGCGATATGCAAAAGCTACAAAATATAAGGACATCCCGAAATATTTCCTTTCTTTGTCTTGTCAGGTCATTTCCATCTCGACACTCAATGCATTTGCACGGCACACTTAAAGAGCTAGAAATATGAACCAAAATACATGACTTATCCTTGAGAAATTCAGCCTTTGGTCCTCCAGTGCAGCAAGGTTTTCTTTTTTTTGAATTAATACATGGATTTCAGTCTGGAGAGAATTTAGATTCATAGAATGGTTTGGATTGGAAGAGACCTTAGAGCTCATCCAGTTCCAATCCCCTGCCATGGGCAGGGACACCTTCCTCTAGAGCAGGTTGCTCAATATTTTTCATTATTGTTTTAATTTTCATGTGTCTTTTGGAATAAAATCCTGATTTATTATTTCTAACCTGCCTGATACAGTGGCAGACCTGCCATTCCACCCCCACCATGCACAGAGAACTTGAGTATCTCGCAACAAATGGAATGAAAGAACCCCAAATTCCTCTCTAGCCTCCCTTACTGTGTCCCTTCTTGCAGCTTTGCTTTCTGGATTTCTAATGAAGTCTAAAAAGTACAAACAAAAAGCAAAACTTGACAGTCCCTTTAGGTTCCTTTCCATCCCATCCACTGTATGGCACATCTTGAATGCAGGTGCTGGCCAGACAAGCTGATTTCCTGACATACATCTCATCACTGTAATTTGTGAAGCTTTTCCATCCTAAAGCTAGGCAGTCTTTGTTCACTTCCTAGGGTTTGCTGGGCTTTGTTTTACTCATAAGATATATTTCTATTAGAAAAACCCAAGAAAACAACTTATTTTTATTAAAATAATGTTTAAAATCACATGCAGCTGTTGCTCAATCAGAATAATTTTTGAGAGCAAGTCTTCAGACTAACAAAAGCAAAGCATTGAATGAATCAATGTTTTTTATTTCATTAAAACCCATTATTTTTCTACTGCAGAAGATGGATGTAAAAAAAGGATTAAAAAAATAATCCTTCTTGAGTGGTGGAAAACAAATAAATTGTAGTTTCCCTTAAACATTTCCCAGATTCCTGGTTTGGATTCTCACAGAAACATGTTCAAGCTTCTTGCTGTCCCAGCTCCACAATGAGACTTGAGTCGCCTCGTCTTCCCTTGCCTCCGGCTTGAAAGCTTCCTGATGAAAGGAGTGCCTTCAGAAAATGGCATTGGCAGAAAAGAGCAGCAGAGGAGAACAGGGAATTGGGCTGATAGTAGGAGTAGGGAAGTGCTTCAGGATATATTGACAGCAGAGTCTCCTCCAGCTTTCCTGTTAGCAGCTCTCAGAAACACAGCCTTTGGGGGAGGTTTTTTATTAGTGAGGAAATGCCTGTAAGAGAGAAACGGAATAGGAGGAGTGGAATGGTGCAGAAAAATGAGATGGAAAGAGGTTTATTTGAGAAACAAAACTTGATACTTGGTACTCATCTAGTGAAATAAGTTAAGTTTTCTACAAGGGATAACCTTAGTTCTGGGGGTGTTGGGTGATGAGAAGCTCCCCATGACCCGGCTTCAGTGTGTGCTTGAGCCCAGACCCACCCCGTGTGCTGGGTGCACCCCCAGAGCGTGAGCAGCAGCTCAGGGAGGGGATCCTGCCCCTCTGCTGTGCTCTGGGGAGACCCCCCCTGCAGCCCTGATCCAGCTCTGGGGAACAGCACAAGAGGGACGTGGAGCTGCTGGAGCGAGGCCAGAGGAGGCCCCGGAGCTGCTGCGAGGGCTGGAGCAGCTCTGCTCTGGAGCCAGGCTGAGAGAGCTGGGCAGGGGCAGCTGGAGAAGAGAAGGCTCCTGAAGGGGACACCTTAGAGCAGCTCCAGGGCCTAAAGGGGCTCCAGGAGACCTGGAGAGGGGCTTTGGACAAGGGATGGAGGGACAGGCCAAGGGGAATGGCTTGAACCTGCCAGAGGGGAGACTGGGATGAGCTCTGAGGCAGAAGCTTTTCCCTGTGAGGGTGGTGAGACCGTTCTATGATTCCTTGTGTGAAGGTGCTTGAAAGTCTGCAGGATGACAGGTCTGTGGTCCTCAGCTGAGAACATCTAAACTATGGGAGTTGCACCACTCCAGCCACAGAAACAGGAGACTGGTGTGGCTTCGGGGGAGGTTCGCTGCGGGGAGGGTCAAGCAGAATAATGCTGGTGTGGAGCTGGACGTTGGCCATGTCCAAAGCAATGTCCATGTATCACTGCAGAAGTATTTAGGTTTTGGAATAAACTGGATGTGGGAAGGTTTAGGGGCAGGAGGCCGGGTGTTTGTTTTGTGGGTGGAGGGTATTGTGTTGGTGGTATCTGTAACGTTCACTTATGTAGTCATGGGCCATGACCTGTTGTGCCAGAAAAGCAGTCTGTGCCCGAAGGAATTCATGGGCTGAGACAATAGTTGGCTTGACACACACTGAGGATGGAAACAGACCAGGAAGCAGTTTTGATTAGGACAGTGCTGTCAGTGCAAGCAGCATCCTTAGAGCTGTGAAGATGTCTGTCAGGGTGGAAATGGTTTTAAAGAGCACTTAATGGCATCTGTTTCTAAACTCTTAATGTTTTCTTACTTCTGCAGTGTCCTAGTTCTGCGAATCACTTTCCTACGAGGATACCCTTAGGACAGATCACTGTCTCTGCACAGAACCTGATTCTCAATGGATTCACATGTGTGTATTCATTGATGTTAACTAAACCTTCTTTGAAAGAGGATTAAGATCAAACAAGAAAAAATTACCTCTAATCTCGTATATTTCTTACTTCTCTTACAAGTGCCCTCACTTAGAGCTAGTGAGAAATACCTGTTGCACTTTGGATTCAGACTCTACCTCAGCCTGAGTTGTTTTCCTGCTCTAAAAAGCCTGCGAGTTGTTGGTAGATCTGGATATTTTGATGGTGTTTTTTTTCTCCTGACTTGCTTTCCTTGTTTAGACTTAGAGGCAAGATAGGAAGCCACAGCTTCCCAAAAATCCTCTTATACTGTCTTTCCCATTTGATGCGGAGTGTTGGGGAGGACCCAACAGAGAAAGGGTTTTGAAAGGCCTCTGCTCCTCCAGCCCAGAAGCAGTAGCTCCTGTGCTCTTCTCTAATTTGCCAGCCTTGCCTGTCTATAGAATCCCAGACTAGTTTGGGTTGAGAGGAACCTTAAAGCTCCTCCAGCTCCAACCCCTGCCACGGGCAGGGACACTTTCCACTAGAGCAGGTTGCTCCAAGCCCCTGTGTCCAACCTGGCCTTGAACACTGCCAGGGATGGGGCAGCCACAGCTTCTCTGGGCAACCAGATTATCTTCCCAAATGGGCTGATCATTTCATTCTTAGTGTAGTAAAGAACCCCCTTATTCCCATGAGTATCTCTTTTCCCACATCAGTTTTGCAGTTTACATAATCCAGCCTATAAAAAGGTCTCAGCAAAACATAAATTTAAACTCTGCTCTGTTTGCCCTCGATCTCAATTCTTTCAGTGTTAGCCTTGGCCCAGTGTAAGAAAGTGGGATCAGAGTGGGGAGCTTGGAGGTGTTGGAAGGGAATGGAATTTGCACCGCAGACTCCAGGCAAGCCACAGGAGCAGTGCTGGGGAGAACCCTCAGTGCAGATGTCAACCTCAACTTCTAGGCTGAACAATGTGTTAGGAAGGGTAAGTGTAGCTCATAAAACTTTCAGTAATAAAGAATTTGAGGGGTTTGTTTTTGCAGTTTTCTATTGGATTTTTAATAATACAAAACCAAAATAAACATTAATCCTGGAGAAGGGAGGAAGAAGAAATAGATGCACATGTCTCTTCTCTCAACCCTTAAAAGTTAAAGCTTTGCCACTTTCTTTTCTTGATATTAGGTGACTTTTTTAATGTCTTAGAAAGGTTTTGTTTCATCTTGGCTCGAGTTTTGCATTTGGATTCCTTTTAGCCATTACTACAAGCTAGATAAGGAGAGTCTTTATTGTTCAGATGGAATCACAGGCTTTGGTTAGTTAGATTAAGAGATTTGTCCTCACTGGGATGAATAGTCCTTTATTTATTAGATGACAAAATCTTTCCTAGAGCCAGTGCATTATGTTATCAGATTCCTTCAGGTTTTTTCTTTTTAAATAAATAAGGAACCACTAAATCTTTCTCCTTCTCATCCTTCAAAGCGCCGAAATGCCTGTTTCAAGCCAGGCAGCTTTAGCAGATGCCCTTCCCCAGCCGATACGCAGAGATTCTACCAAGTTGCTCAATAAATTTTCTCTGTGCCTTATTTGAGGTGTTGATCACTTAAAATGTGGAGTGCTTTGGTCATGTTCCTTATAGTGCTATATTTTATACTGCTAGTTTGAGTGTGTTATAATAGTTGGGAGGTATTGAGCAGAAGAGTTAATTCCCCCATTACAAATCTTTTCAATCAAGAAAGCTGGGCTCATTCCTTAAAATGAAAGGGTGTTTTACTTCTTTCCCCTTCGGAGTCAAAAGAACTCCCAAGGAGGGAACTGGGCTCCATCCTGGCTCGTGCCATCAGCAGAATTTTAATTGGGTTTGAGCTACAAGCCTTTTATTCCTGGTGAAAATACACGAGCCAGTTTGACTGAAAATCCTGGACCAGATTTGGAGGTCTGGAGAG